GGTATCCTTTTAATGGATCCCTTTTTCACCAAAACTGCATGAAAGCGAAACAAGTTGTGGACAGCAATAAAATGTAAGTTGCATTTTATCAGTTCTTTTAACCTGTGCCTTTTAAGTCTCGTGTCTTGTACTTATTTACTTAGCAAGTGTGCTCGTAGTGGTTACGACGCTATAAAGAGAGTCCTTATCACTGCATTATGAATACATTTAGTTGGGTATAGCCAGTAGCCACTATTCCACCGCCATGGCATGTAATAGAGCCCATAGAACTTATACCTATTGTTCGTGGTGGCGGAGAAACTGATTGCGCCCTCTGGTGAATAATAGCCCAGACCTAGTACATTTTCTCCCTTAGTCTCCTGCGTCCCCTGTTGAATACTTTGAAAAGTAACACATAGGTATCAGAATGGCCATAGATCAAGATCTTAGCGACCCAACTTTAATAACTCCCTAAAATAATTCCCCGTGCCTTACTAAAATGGACCGATTATCTTCCTACTCGTAGAAAATAACAAAACACTTTAAAAGATAATAAGATTACTCAACTAATCCGGATTACTTAAAAATAGACCTTTTTTACCAGCTTGAGAATCATGAATTTATCTACGACGCAATAGAGATTGTAAACAAAAAGCTTTATTGAACACCCACTAGCCCACAACAACGTGCCTGTTTCACTGAAATTCTCGCGTCGGGATTTATCAGAATTGAATAGTATTGACGTACAGCACCCAGTATTCACTATCCGCAATCCACACATGCATCGTGTTTGTACTGAACGGAGGTCAATGTCAAAGACCAATACCACTCGAACAAAAACATACAAAGCTCTGTTTACATAGCTATATATCAGTGCAATAGACTTATTTCAAATGTACGCTTCATACCGGTTTTATTTACACGTCCTTTCCGAGGATCATACTTGTACCTTACTACTGTATTAAGCAAACTACATAATATTATGATTAAGCTCTTATGTTGTACTCGTATTATTAAGGATTTGTCACATTACAGATTAGCACTAGGTACTTAAGGCCGGGTAGCAGAGAAAATGGCGAAAATGAGGATTTCATTTTTCATTTTTGAGGTACTAAACAGTAAAATTAAAGGCTAAGATTTTTATTGGGCATAGTTGAGGATATTTTCTAGGGCTATTAACGGATGGAAACACGATTTGATGAAGTTGACTCGATAGAATAAATTCCCAAAGTTACCTCTATTCTTTTTCTATTTATGGTTTTATTTTTAAAATAAGCGATTTGAGATTCTAAATCTTTTGCTAAACTAAAGTTCAGAAATAACTTGAGGGCTTTTAACGGATGAAATTTTTATATTGCGTCTTATTTAGTTACAATGTTAAAAAATGTGGAAAAAATAGTCCATGACGGCTTGGACAATCTCAATCAGTCGCGCGGTGGCGCTTACGGAGGACGGACGCGTGTCAGTTTTTTGGCCGTGACAGTTCGCGATTTGTCAATATTTTTGACAATGATGACTTTGATGAGTCACAGTATAATAATGTGAATTGCAACAACTATAATTTATTATCCAAGCTCTTAATAATCGCTACTACGAGTAACTGATCATAAAATGTTTTTCCAATCGCTCAAGCTCCCGAGGATCTACCGATAGGTCGGGTGACGTAATCTTGAAATTCTTTTAGCCGGCGCGGAACTTCCGGAAGGTCGGGTGACGCCACGCCTCTTTGAACCGTGTTTACTTTGGCAGTTATTTTCTATATTTATTCGATTCTAAAATATATTCCCAAAAATTTTGAAAGTTGTTTTAATTTGTATCACTTGGATATGATTTGTATTAGAAAGTGCTGTGAGTATGACGCTTGAACGGAAGGAAGTCAACCTAACCTAACCAACTGCGTATTTCTAAACTGCGTATTTCTATACTGTGTAGCCGCGAGAGCTCTTTGGCGCGCTGTCTTCGGCGAAGTATTGCGCGCGCAGATTTTGACAGCGCGAAATACCTACTTTAGCAGAAATACCAAGCCTTAATAACTGAATCTTACTTACGTCGGTACGTACCTAATGATAAAATACCTACGCAACATCATAAGGGCAACTGGATATTTATACATAGAATAAAATCTAGTACGATTTACGTTACAGACATGTTTTAAGGTATAATATTTTGAAGAAACCTAAAGTGAGTCTAGTAGTAAGTACCTAAGTGCGAAAGGGTCGTTCGTTCGTTCGTTTCAGCCGGACTTCCACAAAGACCGGTACTGCGCTACTCGCACCTTCCGCGACCTTCACCAGGTCGTCGGTCCACCTAGTGGGAAGCCTGCCCACGCTACGTCTTCCGGCTCGTGGTCGCCACTCAAGAACTTTCCTTCCCCAGCGGCCATCAAGCTCTACGAGCTATGTGCCCCGCCCACTGCAACTTGATTTTAGCGATTCTACGATTTCGAAGCGCGAAAGGGTCGTCCTCATGAAATTATGTCCTCATAGAATAAGACGAAGGTCTCCTAAGCCTCTACCTCCGAGAATGGCAATAACCATATTCTAACGCTAGAAGTTCCTAGCCGACCGCTGCAAAAAGTACGCACGGCGCTGCTCATCAGAGCGTGGAAAGACTGCGACCGAAATGTCCACCTACGCACCACACTTGGGTACACCACAAACCACAACGACAGCGTTTCTTCTCTTCTGTTCCGTTGCAGCCATAATCGGGATTGGGATAAACCAAATCTTACACCTTATTGATAGTGTCAGTGTCAGACTGGCAAATCAAAATCCAAGAAACGCAGGACTGAACAAATTACTAACTTTCCTAAAACACCATGTGATGATAGTGATTTTTAAGTAATTTTGAATAACGTTTGATATTTATTAAAATATGCGAGACGGTATTCAACATCATCTTCCAAAATTCTTTGAAACGTTCAAGTTTGTAGCCGACTCCACGCAGCAGACGCCACGTGTCGCCGCGACGCATGTATTTCTATGAAATGTCTTCAAACGACGACGCTAAATGTGGATGATATTTCATATACGAGCAAATAAATAGACCAATAATGTCGTGAATACATGTTGGCTACAAAATCATACCTATAGATAGATCTAGCTAATAAATGATGACTGATGTTGAATTAAGATGCAAACTGGAAAAATGCGAGAAACTGATAAATAATTAAAATCGACTCAATAAGACCAATCTCGTAATTTCAGTATCCTCATCATTAATGTAGTATAATTATAGGTAGATACGTACTTCACTTTACAAATAGCAACGTTCTTGACCAAATAAAAGGAAATACTGCGGAGGATTGTCTGTAGGTAGTTGGTCTAAATTTTTACACGTGTTAAACATTTCGCCTCCCAAGTCGTGTCGCAATTGTGTAGATTCGCTTTGAGCTGCAAGCCCGGATAAGTCATCTGCGAAACAAACAGGACTTTGAGGATATGTGGTCTTTTGAGGACTGAGTCTTTTGAGCAGGCTGACAGGAGCATAGTCTAAAGATTCTTAGAGATATACGAGTCTTATGTGAATTGAGATGAGCCCTACTCTTGCAGCTGTTAGGATAAGCTTGTTGCAGTTAGGATAAGCACTTTTCCAACCAGTAATGGATAGACTGCTACGAGTATTATGATCTCTGGTGTTGACTAGAAAAAGGATTTCCCTCTTCCAAAACTTGAGTGGCGAGCTTTAACCATTGCATGCACTGAAAATGTACGCTTATAACCTTGACCGGCACCTGACATTGAATCATCGTTCAAAGGCAAAATACACAGGGCTTGTTCATTTACACAGTATCGATTTTTTATTAACGGCTATTAATGCAGCGCCGGCGAATTCATCTCTTGCGTGGAATTTCGGTGAAATATAGCGTTAAATTACAGGTACTGGTACTGCTGATGTTATTATACGATTCCGATGCTAAAATGATTCGTTGTAAATGTTTTAAAGTAATACTTCCATGAAATTTTACCAATTCAGTTTATTGAGATAATTATTTTATTGTTTAATTTTCCACCCCTAATTGGTATAAATTAGGTTTTAATTTGATAAGAATTCAAATAAACAATTAGTTTTAATTTAAAGTTTTTACATATGTAGGTAGGTATATTTTATCACTGAAACATGTCAGTTATTGTAGTTCGCTTACATTATAATAACGCCTGTATTCATAAACATTACCATGAGGTCTCACAGTGCGCGTAGACGCACATGGTGACACACGAACCAATCACAGAGCTCTATTCAACGCTGTGTGTTCGATTTTCTACTTCACAAAAGCAAGCATCGTTTGTGAATACGGGCACGTCAGCATTATGACAAACTGAGGGGTGGATGGATTGACAGATGCAAGGAAAAACAGGAGGGCCCAAAGCTCGTATTATGAAACGACGCACGATTCATATTTAAACAGAGATTCAAGCCTTTGATTGATTGAATTTCAATGTTTAAAGCAATTTTCCTAGTGTTAAAATTCGTACCACATAAATAAATCGGTATTCATAAGGATACTTAGAGAAAATAAATTTTAGGTTTTGTCAATCAAGTCAAAAATATTTGGGGGCACGGTAGTGCAACCGCCAAGTCGAGTAAAATTTTTCAATTTCGGTCCAGTTTTCTAGATACATAACTGCTGTCTACAAAATACAAAAAGAAATGAGATTTGGGGGCACGGTAGTGCAACCGCCAAGTCGAGTAAAATTTTTCAATTTCGGTCCAGTTTTCTAAATACATAACTGCTGTCTACGAAATACAAAAAGAAATGAGATCCCATCAAAAACAATACTTGTCAAAAAAACCAAGTCTCGCAACTCAGTTGTTCTACGGTAAAAAGTTGTGAGATCCATGTAATACCAAGTCCAGACCAGGAAATCTTTAACGTTTTACATATATATTGACTTGGCCATCGCATGAAAACACGTGTAAATTAAATTATTTAGTGCGATGGCCAAGTCAATATATTTATGTAAAACGTTAAAGATTTCCTGGCCTATACTATTGTCAAAACATTCATTAAAATCCTTAAATATTTCATAGATTTTATTGTCTACCCTACAGTAGTAATACAATATTATAAGGCTAATATTTTGCTAGTTACTCAATAATACTTTCTGTTATTCTATTCTAAGACCTCGGTATAAAGTCAGCAGCATACGGCCGAGGTGAGGATATCAATCCAATTATGGGGTCGCCGGATGGCAGCACTCCATTGCAATGTTCAATCCTGTACTTCTGAAGAACACCCACGAAAACAATGAATATAAAAGACTTTGCGAGCGAATCCCCTGGACAACGCCTACGACCTGCAACAATAGAAACGTTTCTTGACGATATTACTTATTTTTGGAAATATAAAAATTCACATGTCCTTTTAAACGACTTCGTTAAGCCAAATGACGTCCACTGCTGGACAAAGGCCTCCCTAAGGATTTCTATAACGACCGGCCTTGCGCCGCCTGTACCCAGGCTCCTCCCGTGACCCTCACCAGATCGTCGGTCCACCTAGTGGGAGGCCTGCCCACGCTACGACTTCCGGCCCTCGGTCGCCACTCGAGAACTTTTCTGCCCCAACGGCCATCGTCTCTACGAGCTAATAATGCCCCGCCCACTGCCACTTGATTTTAGCATCATACTGCGAGCTATGTCGATCACTTTGGTTCTCCTGCGGATCTCCTAATTTTAAACGACTTATAACCATTTAATATAAAGCTTGCGACGGATTTCTACTGAATTTATAAGCTCAAATTTCATTTTGAATAAAACCCTTTACACGGGTTTTTCTCAGAACCACTGCTAAGGCTCACATACGATACGCAATCGGGTTTCCATTATGTTCATCCAATGATTTTGTTGCGTCCCACAAATTATTTGGTGAATACATCAATCTGATTTTCAGATTATTGTTAAGCTTATCGCTCGTGTTTGCCAACCGAATGAACTATGATACCGACTGCGAAATCAATTCACATATAAAATATTACGCATAGTAACATTTACGGGAAAGACTATATAAAACATACCTAAGCCGAATGGGTACATGTGCTCTGAATTTTTCAAAGCCCCTCGCTCGTCTATAAATCTCTCGGGCTTAAACTCATGTGGATCGTCCCATATTTCTGGATCGAAATGTACATCGCCAACGGATATCAGAATAGTTGTCTCCTTTGGTATTAAATAGCCATCGATAACCGCATCATCGAGTAAGCGCCGAGGCCCCGCCAGCGGGACGATTGTATAGTATCTCTGCACTTCCAAAAGAAACGCTGAAGTATACACTAACCTGAAAATATATTTGCAAGATATTAGAGACCAAGGTTTACATTCAGTAATCATGTCATTATACACTATCACTGCAAAAATGTAGAAAGACATAATATTTTTAAAACAATGTTTATAAAACCTTTTTCATATAATCTGCTTAGGACTTATTGTTGCCAGCTTAAGCTTAAAAGAAAAACTGTTTATATTGTACAAATAACTAAAAATATTGTTAGACTTTTAACGATCATAATATATTTTGAAACATTGGGCACTGCCTTTACCTACTACAATTGAATAATTGCCGAGACCTACGAACCAAGTTATTACTGCAGGAAACTGCGAGCAATTGACTTTGACCTTTACCTAGAAATCTCGGTAATAAACTTTATCTGCAGAAAAAGCTGGCCAGTTGACAATTTATTTACTTACCTTTATTTTTCTCGAAAATATTCCATCAACAGTGATTTTAATTGAAACTGCTGGTTCTGTTAAATACTGGGAATTATCGGACCCATTTAAAACTAACAATTGAGAATATTGAATGAACATCGATACTCCCACTGATTGAATACAGTTAAAATGAAGTGCTTTAAACAGACTATTAACAAATTAATACCGATGAATTGCTTTCTTTGACGTCAATGTTTTTTGTTGTTACAGTGTAATTGTTCTTTTATTAAAATTATTTTTGTTGATATTGTTAAAACAGTGATATGCATGAGTGAGGATGAGTGAGAGAGAAACAAAACAGAATTTTAGTCAAAACGATATTACTAAACTGTTTTTGTATATGTTTGAAGTTAAATTAATTGTATTCGTAAACTTGATCTCTAAATTACGAGTATCATTTTATTATTTCTAGCTTTGTAGCTCGGGAGAATTAGAATTTCTGTCCAAACCCAATAGCTACACTTGCCCTACCGCGAAGCTGAAAAGAAAGGGCCGTACGTATTGAAAGGTATATGTAATTAATAACGACGTTGGATGTCTAGGTGGTAGGTTCCACCTCCCACTAAACGGAGGCTACATAATATGGCTATGTAATTTTAATCCTTACAGTACGAGTAGACACGATTGCTCTAAGTTTGTTTTAAAAAAAATAAGTACAATTATTGCATACAATGTATGACTAATCGATCTACAATCTATTTACATAATTTGTGCAGTATTTACATAATAAAATGTATAATAACACAAAAGATTCAATCAAGAAAATCTGTCGCGTAACATCATGGCCACTCTGTCACCTTGTTATACAATAAATTGATCTACCCACCTATAACTATCGTTCCAAGAAGGCTGTTTATTACCCAAGACCGTATTTATTTCATCGAATAACTTTTCTTGCAAAGCTCGATTCCTCAATACGACTAGAAAAGCAAATTCAAGGACATTGCTGGTGGTTTGTGATCCAGCTATTAATAAATCCAGGCAAATTGTTTTCAACTGATCCTCTGTAAAAAAACAAGACGAATATTAATATTAAAGTAACTTGTTCTGTTAAAGTAACACTGGAAAACCATCTTTTTCATATTTTCTAGTACCTACGTGAAACTAAATATGAGTAGGTAAACAAGTTAAAGTAAACAGGTAATGAGGTGATTTCAGCGTTTTGCTACTGAATTTATTTGCGATGTAAACATATTGATACACTCAGTCTTGAACACATTGATAATACTTTGTTTGATTATTCTTAATATTTGTTATTATGTTTATCAAATAGATTCTCTGACATTTTTTCTAATCTGTTTTGAATGAAGATATTGGAATTAAAAATGAATTAATTACTGAACGTAAATAATTATGTTGCCAAGACTGCAGGAGCAGTGGTGTGTGAAAGCGAAATGACTGAGTGAACTTATGAGCGGAAGTTTAAAAGAGGCGTTTAAAGAAGACCCTGAACGTTAAAAATAAATTTGAAGTCGCTCGCTCGCTTTCTGTGAAATGTAGAAGGACGATATTCCAAGCTACCGGTTGCTCAGAAAATCTAAGCTTGCAATAAGTGGATCGGAGGAAATATCTATTTCAGTTCTCGACTTTCGATAAATACAGTCGTTTCCCATTGATAAATTAGTGAAGACACCTCATTACGCAACTCTCAGCAAAGCAGAAGATATGAACGGGAAATTATAACATTATAGCTTAGGAATGCTACAAACGAAATCAGCTACAGTAATGAGAATGGGATATTTCTAGCCATCACAAACAAAAATTGGGTAGGTCGCTTAATTCTTCACTAGAAACTGGTAAAAAAATCATTTAGGTTCACCATTACGTTTAAGAATTACATTCACCTGAACACGACCAGTCAGATGATTTTCTTGACTCTCCAAAAAGGCCTAAAAGGACACTGACTCGACAATTCCTAAAATATCAGGTCCCTGAACTACTTTTTAATTCGGAAACAGAGCTATCAACATAGCTGAGTCAGATCTATAGAAAAATATGATTTGTTTTTGAGCATTTTTTTGCTGCCACCGCAACTTCAGGGTTGTGTATGGGTGCGTTGGCCACAGAAAACAAGGTTTTTCCGACTTGTCGTGTTCAGGTAAATGTAATCCCATCAAAAACAATACTTGTCAAAAAAACCAAGTCTCGCAACTCAGTTGTTCTACGGTAAAAAGTTGTGAGATCCATGTAATACCAAGTCCAGGCCAGGAAATCTTTAACGTTTTACATAAATATATTGACTTTTTTATAAAACGTTAAAGATTTCCTGGCCTGGACTTGGTATTACATGNTTTTTTTGACAAGTATTGTTTTTGATGGGATCTCATTTCTTTTTGTATTTTGTAGACAGCAGTTATGTATCTAGAAAACTGGACCGAAATTGAAAAATTTTACTCGACTTGGCGGTTGCACTACCGTGCCCCCAAATATTTTAGTTTTTCCTTGATTCATACACCAAACACTACTTATATTCCAAATTTGAAGCTTCTAGGTCTGCTAGAAGTGCCTTAGAGTTTTGATGATCGGTGAGTCAGTGAGTCAGTGAGTGACAAAATTAAGTAACTTTGACCCGTTATAATTCTTAAACTACTGGTTCAAATTGAATGAAATTTTAAATATACCGTGTATTTACAATGCCTGCATAGCTAATGAAAATTCAGCCTTCTAGTTTTATCCACAACGAAGTTAGAGGCAGTCGAAAATGGCCTGAATTGCTTCGAGAAAAGGATGGTACGGCCGTGCCGCTTTTTGTTCGACTTGGTGGGGGCACTGCCGTGCCCCTGGGGGCAAGACATTATCTGGTAATGTCTTAAACGCAAATGGGCATTAAGTATATGACTTTTTTACCAGTTTCTAGTGAAGAATTAAGCTACCTACCCAAATTTTTGTGATAGCTAGAACTATCCCATTCTCATTACTTTTTGAATAACCCTAGTTACAGCACGAGGCTCAAAACTCATAATAGATTTGAAATAATTTTATTGAACATTTTCATTTTAGATGCAGATAAAAAAGCGAAAAAGGACTGAGCAACTTAAGAAAACTAAAATAGTTTTAATTTACGCTTGACGATTTTATGTATATTCTATTTCGAACTTTCTAAGAACCTACCTACTTACAGAACTTTGCCGTGTGAATCACATCACCACATCCTGTCACATTAGCATTTTAAAGTTGCGAAATAAATACCAATAAAAAGGTTAGGTACCGCTTTAGTTTAAAACTATAATTTTGCAACACTTACACCTACATCGCTAATATTTTATACAAAATAGTTAGCTTAAGTAAAAAGTGAATTCAGATTTTAATTATCAGCTGGTAATGAAAAATTATACCATAAAAAATATGATAACCAAAATAAATACAAAAAAAATATTGATTCAAAATCAATACTTATCTACTCTAATAAAAAAATGTTATTAGATCTAATTGTGGATGATGATGAATTATCCTGACGGTGAACTATTTTAAAATGTATTTTGATTCCGTGACGGAGAGGAAAATTTCCAAGGGCTCATGCCTCGCGTCGTAGCACATTATACTTCAATAGACTTTTGACTAAATTCCAGTGTTAGTTATGTTACTCTATGTAGGTAATTAAGCCAAATCGGGTTTTGTGTAGGTATGCAGTCGTTTTGTCACACAAGATTGACATTGAGACTATTATAGGTATATTCTTGGACAGTCAGATCTAGTCCCAAATAAACCACTTCATAAATATGAAAATAATTCCCATTTAATTTATTATATTCGGAGTTAGTAATGGAACAAAAAATCTACATTTTGTTTTCTTATTTTGTACGTTAGGTACCTACTCGTACATATTAGAATTCTGGTGCATTTATAAAAATATTCGTAGCAAGTGCACTCGCCGCCGGCGATTTTCATTCATGATGCTCTACATCTTCGTAAATGAAATTAAATTTAATGGGAAATGGATGTTCAGCTCATCCTAGATAGAGCGTATTTTTTGTTATTCAAGTAGCTCTGCCTGTAGATTTCCTATGCTTAGTATAATTAGAGCAGCCTCGTCAGTCGAATCACTTAACTATGTTTTGAATTTTCTAAGCATAAATTGAATTAAAGATGCGATGAATGGGCTTTTACGATGAAAGTAAATAGCTGACTAGGCATTTACATCTAAGATCAAAACAACAATTATTTTGTTTATGCCATTTTTCCAACTCTCATCATAACTCTACTTAGTGATGTAAAAATATTTTAAAGTTAAACAAGATAGGTACCCGTAATATGAATAGCATACAAAGCAAACAATAGTAATTTTCTTTAGTTGCCGTTTAACTATTACCCTATCATTACCATGTATTGTAATATAATAGCTAATATAATATTTTACACACAAACTTACCTGTAAAGGAGCTATTCGTTTCATTGATTTCCTTTAAAAACGAAGTAATAAAATCATTTTGTCCGGACACATTATTTTTGTGTTTCCTGATTGCTTCCTGGAATAAAAAAAGGTTCATCAATAAACTATTAGATCGGCATTCATGTTGATTTTAAAATTCTTTACTCCTCAAATTCATGATGAAATATACAGAGCTAAAACGCCGCCTTTTAATTACGCCTTTTAATGACACATTCAATCTAAGTAATTCAATGTATACTTCGGCATACTTAATGAAATCGGCATTATAGTGATTTTATATCTGTTTTAGTTTTTATGACTTATCGCGGATCACGAATTCACGATACATACCTATTGAATTACTTATATGTACCTACAATGGTATGTATAAAGTTAACTAAAAGGAAAATTTCATGTTTGTACGATAAATAAAATAAGGATCGTTTGAAAACTTATTAAGAAAACAAATAAACCCGACTACGTAAAAATGAACTGAACGGATAGAAACAAGGCAACTTAGTATTTACAAATGCGTCGGAGGTATCAATGACTAATTCTTTTTTTGGTGATAGATAATGTATTTAATGCCTCCGACTGAATCATTTCAGTTTTATTTTTGTAGTCAGGTTTTTTGTGTTCTTAATCATTGTACCTACTCGTATTTGAATTTTTTTGGTTAAAATAACATACATTTTTGCAAGCTAATTATGAAACCCTTCATTTTGATACCCCACTCGACATAAGATAAGAAAATTTTGAAGACATATTATTATGGCGCCTAAAATCAGCCATTTTTATTTTTTCCAATTTTGTCATACCCAGTGTCACTCTCTCAGTTTAAGGCTTGGTATTTCTGCTAAAGTAGGTATTTCGCGCTGTCAAAATCTGCGCGCGCAATACTTCGCCGAAGACAGCGCGCCAAAGAGCTCTCGCGGCTACACAGTATAGAAATACGCAGTTGGTTAGGTTAGGTTGACTTCCTTCCGTTCAAGCGTCACACTCACAGCACTTTCTAATACAAATCATATCCAAGTGATACAAATTAAAACAACTTTCAAAATTTTTGGGAATATATTTTAGAATCGAATAAACATAGAATATAACTGCCAAAGTAAACACGGTTCAAAGAGGCGTGGCGTCACCCGACCTTCCGGAAGTTCCGCGCCGGCTAAAAGAATTTCAAGATTACGTCACCCGACCTATCGGTAGATCCTCGGGAGCTTGAGCGATTGGAAAATATTTTTTTATGATCAGTTACTCGTAGTAGCGATTATTTAGAGCTTGGATAATAAATTATAGTTGTTGCAATTCACAAAGCTTTGCATGTGGTTAATTACATTAATCAGTACACGCATCAATTTTGTTCAGTCTTTTTGTTTATTAATAAATAAAAATATCATACTAAAATTATTTAAGCTTTCTCCAGTAACACTGATATTATTATACTGTGACTCATCAAAGTCATCATTGTCAAAAATATTGACAAATCGCGAACTGTCACGGCCAAAAAACTGACACGCGTCCGTCCTCCGTAAGCGCCACCGCGCGACTGATTGAGATTGTCCAAGCCGTCATGGACGATTTTTTCCACATTTTTTAACATAGTAACTAAATAAGACGCAATATAAAAATTTCATCCGTTAAAAGCCCTCAAGTTATTTCTGAACTTTAGTTTAGTAAAAGATTTAGAATCTCAAATCGCTTATTTTAAAAATAAAACCATAAATAGAAAACGAATAGAGGTAACTTTGGGAATTTATTCTATCGAGTCAACTTCATCAAATCGTGTTTCCATCCGTTAATAGCCCTAGAAAATATCCTCAACTATGCCCAATAAAAATCTTAGCCTTTAATTTTACTGTTTAGTACCTCAAAAATGAAAAATGAAAACCTCATTTTCGCCATTTTCTCTGCTACCCGGCCTTAAGACAAATCTAACGACACCTCATACGCTGAATTCGATCAAAACTTTTAGTCTGTAGAAGCGTGCCAAAGAAATAACATACACTCGAAAAACATAACCCAGTCGTGTTAAAAAACTATCCCGAATCGTGAAATTACTATGTATTTTAATTTTTCCTGCATTCCGATATTTGCACGGACACATTTTTGAGCTGTGGGCTAGGACGTGCAAGTTAATAATAATATGTACCTACTCCATGTTTCGAAATATCCAAAATGAAATGTTGACTACGAGTCGGTACTAGGTAGATCTGCAAAATTTTGCGAGAATTCCGTTCGTAGAATTCCCGTTAATTAAACTTTATGGAAAATGTTGCAACAAAATGTTAAACCAATAAAGGGAATCGGTACAAAACCTAAATCCGAAGGATTAAAGACCACTTTACCAGAATCAGTTTGTATTTGTATTTATATTTGCATTGTCAAGTCTGGTTGTTTATTACCAGAGATAATTAAAGATAAATGTGGATATTGACTATCTTATATAGATTTTAGGTGAATTAAAAATTTATTTATTGATTTGCGTCGTTATTTTTTCTAGAAAATAGTTTCAGGTGTAGGTACAAAATACCTAAAGATCAATGTTGAAAAAGGATTCTCAATATCGAGAAGCGTTTACTTACACTCGCCTCAAAAGTTTCGAATATTTTTAACGAATCCCTATGTTTATTTAAGCAGATTCATATATGAACGGGAATGCTTCAAAATACGTTTCGTGGAAGCGTATTCGATTGCTTCAATGAATAGGAATTATTGAAGTAGTTCCGGTGAAAAATAGTTGGATTTAAGTAAGTATTTCTGGTGAAAACTTTCTAAATCTTTGCTGTATCTAATGATACCGCTATGGAAAATATTAACATTATTTTACTGTTATAATATGATATTTATTGTTGATTTGCAATAAAATAAAGCTTAAATAACTTTTTACGATATTGAGAGGGTTGATACTATTTTTGTTCCTGGCTTGTCAACTCCTATCGAAACCCTTACTGAATTCCGAGTTCAACTATCGCCAGTTTTGCTATCAATAGCTTCAAAAGTTTTAACTATTCTGACCAATCATCAGGAAAATTTTAAGCCGCGCTCGAGCATCAAATGCCAGTTTATTTTTATCGTATCGATTTTGTAATAGAATTGATAAATGAACAAGGATTGTTTACAACTAAAATGTACTTATTTAATACATTGTTTGGAAATAAATGTGTGGGTGAGTCCCAACCAGTCACACCGAAACGTACGTAAACATTTTGTTAAAATGAATCAATATTACATTAAAAATTAAAATAATTAATCTAAAGCTGTCAGAAAATACAGATTACATAGTGATTTGAAGATATACCTATCTTTTCAATCAATATGAATTGTCCGAGTAACAATGTGACTTGATGGGATTTTTTCCCATGGAGTTCGGTTCGGTGTGATGATTGGTAGGGAACAAGCTAAGTAGTAACCCTTTTATTAAAGTTTTCGGCATACCCACCTCTATAATCTCAGATAACTGCTGATTCATTTTAGTGATCAGCGAATATCCACTCAATTCCGGGACAATGTACCGACACCATGGCACTTGGTTCAGCCAGCCCCCAGCCATCGAGAAAGCTTTTGAACGGGCGCTTAATAGGTCCAACAAAAATTTCAAACGCTCTTCTTTTATTCGATCGCCTGGAAAAAAGAAAACATAACATGAACGGATACGAAAATAAACAGAGAAGACCTTAAATGACATTAGATGCACTTGATTTAAAATGTTTACGAAAATCGTTCAGTCTGCTGAACTTAGTTCGGTTTTTTTTAAATATATTTAGCTATAATATGCGGCAGTGACTTAAGTAGAGTCAAAGTAGATTAGGTATATCATAACTATTGTAATTTACTGTCTTGAATTGATAATATTTATAATGGAAAACAGTATTTTTTTCTCTTTTCTAGTCATTATTACTCATATTTACAACAATCATACATAATTAATGATAGTTTGCAAATGTGCTTTACTACTGTACTGCTTGTTACTAAAATATATAAAGGGTGGTTCTGTTTCAATACTGGCTAAGGCCCAACCAACCCAGCCTAAGAATGAATGTCGAACTGCGTTGTAATGTGGTTTCTGAGATAAGTTTGTTTGCTTAAACCCGAAATATCACGTCCGATTTCAAAAATTCTAGGGAGGCTTTCATTAAGCTATACACCTTACAGCCAATAGGGGCGGAGCAGTAAAGAAAAATGTTGCAAAAACAGGAAATATTATTGAAACTATTTATTGGTACTTTTAAATAGTCTATGCAAATAAAGAAATTTTGACTTTGGTTTTTCACGCGTATGAATTCGCGGGCACAGCTAGTATTTTTAGAAAACTCAAAAAACTGTATTCACTAAAAAACAGAACAGAGCTATAGTGGATTCCAAATATTACACTTAAAAAATGTATGTGGAACTGTGATTCTATGTGATTTCAGAGTAAGTAGATAGGTACAACAAACGTTTTTATTTACCCTCTCGAAAGCTATTGAACGATTTTTGCTTACTACCGGATTATTACATTCGTTGGATTTTCCATATTGTTAAAATCATAAAAATTGACTGTATTTTTAAAAGTCAGGTAAATATTTAAGCCAAATAAATGTACTCGTACTACCTATTAGTAGAATCAATATTCATTTAGTTAAGTATTTTAACATACTTTTTTATAAACACTTAGGTGTTAAAAATGATTTATGTCACCGAATTAAATAACAAAAGTAATGAAATACATTGCAAATAGATCATTTAAAAGTTAGCATAATACTCATTTAACGAGATAGGTATTATCTTGATATAAGGTAGGTACCTCAAAACTAATAGTAGTAGTAGGTAGGTTACTCAAAATATATCATACCTACATAATATTTAAATAGGTACTTTACAAATGTATCAAGGTATACATTTAATTTTGCATAATACATATCTTCATGCAACATGGAGGCCTATGTTCAGCAGTGGACGTCCTATAGCTGAGATGATGATGATGATGACATATCTTCATAATAATCAAATATCGATCGATCGATCGAATCAGAAATGAGGAGATCCATAGGAGAACCAGAGTGACTGACATAGCCCGCAGAATCGCTAAAATCAAGTGGCAGTGGGCAGGGCACATAGCTCGTAGAGCTGATGGCCGCTGGGGCAGGAAAGTTCTTGAGGGGCGACCACGAGCCGGAAGACGTAGCGTGGGCAGGCCTCGCACTAGGTGGACCGACGATCTGATGAGGGTCACGGGAGGTGCCTGGATGCGAGCGGCGCAGGACCGGTCGTTGTGGAAAACCTTGGGGAAGAAGGCCTTTGTCCAGCAGTGGACGTCTTTCGGCTGAAACGACACGACTCAAAATATTATCTCATACTTGTACAGGTAGTACCCATGTAATAGAATATCTCAGTTAACCCCTGTCAGAGACGCCAATAACTAAAGCAATTAAGAGAAAAAAAATCACATTGCGCGTATTTTACAATACTGAAAACTTCACGGGCTTCTAAACTTTCAGTTCGCTACTCGACTCTGACTTTAGAGGTTTATGGCTTCATTACCTGTTTCGTTTTGTAAAGTATCAGAAAACATTGTTGTGTTTTTTTTTGAGTTTCACCACAGAACAAAGAACCTACCAAAAAGGAAACCATTACGATTATCCTTACAGTTTATACTCTCATACATGTACCTATTATTCAATTCAATTTAACCATAGAATTAGTTTATATTGCTAGATGTCCAATAAAAATTTATAAATCTAAATAAATATAAACTGATTGACTGACATAGTGATCTATCAACGCACGCACAGCCCAAATCACTGGACGGATCGAGCTGAAATTTGGCATGCAAGTAGATGTTATGATATAAATCAATATATTACTGTAATTATTCAATTATGAAAAAAAAATACGTGTCCAATATTTTTTATTATCTGTCTGACGGACTAAATAGAATTTCGATTTCATTACCTAGTCATCATCCCAATTATGTACTAGCGGTACTACTACTAGTACTAGAAGCGGTGCCCGCAACTTCGTACGCGTGGAAAGTTTAAACATTACTTATTTCCCGTTTTTGCAACACTTTTCTTTACTGCTCCGCCCCTATTTGCCTGTAGTACTTATAGCCTAAAGCTTTCCTCGATAAATGGTCCTCGATCCAACACAAAAAGATTTTTTCAAATCAGACTAGTAGTTTCTGAGATTAGCGCGTCCAACCAAACAAGCAAACTCTTCAGCTTTAAGTTAATATAGACTAAGCCGTAGTTCGTAAGTAAGTACCTACATAAACCTATTTGGCTAATGACACCAAACGAAAGTCGATAAAGTAAAGACAACTTTTTGTTGGAGGTGCTAAGTTCGACGGGTCAGCTAGTTGCATTAAATAAAGCGTTCACTTCCTTTGATGCAACTCGACACGTGTAGACTGTAGAGGTCGAGCTTTTTCCTAACTAGGTACCAGTATCCGGGGCAGTGTTTATCAAAGAAATATTTTCTTTGATGCAGGTGTAGGTAGAGTGATGTGATTAACACTGCACCATAGAGGGTTTTCGTTGTGAGCAATTTTACATTTCACTGAACTTTACGCTGTGACACGTCTTAGTTAGACAATTTTACAAAATCTAAAGTAATATTCAATATGGTTTCATAAAATACATATCGTAGAGTTTGATATGTTACATTTTATTATTATTTGGAAAACTAACGCATAAATTTGGTAATATAATAGGAATACCACAAAGTACCCCACAACAATACTGCCCATAATGTCACTTATTAAACCTGTAGCAGCAGGATTACTTTGAGCTTTTGTTAAAAATGCTATTGTGTTGTTCCAAATATCAATTTGATTTTGAATATGTGACTCATAGGTTTTCCTTTGAACTGTACTTTTTGTTGTAATTCACTGTAACCAGTAAATAAAATGTAATTCTGCTAACGCAAGCCATAAAAATATTAAATTTTATTTCTCATATTGGTCAATGACCTGGTCAAGTGCGAGTAGATGTGCGATCACGTAGGCTCTTCTCTAGACGTTTTCAAAGTTTGAAGGCAACACATATGCAAGTGAAGTTCGGTATACAAAGGATGTTGCTAGAGGCTATTCCTGTACGTAGTAATGGAATGCGTGATCTTATAAGCCATTAGCTGATACATTGAATAAACTTCTACTTGCTTTTGTCATGAAATTTCAGGAAATTAAGCTACTTTAAAGGGAATTTAATAGAATAACCAATCAAAACCCGTATGTGAAACTAGTTGAGTAACTATGTTATTTTTACTACAATACAGCTCGGGCCGAGCGTGGGGCAAACTTGCCTCTAAACAATTTATGCCGGAGGGCTGACACGCCAAATTAGCCACCGTAGCGGCGTTTGCCCACGAGACCTGGATGCGCTGCTGAATAATTAATTACTATTCAATATTTACCCGCAACGTATTTCCATAGAACATTCATGACCGCCGCAGGCAAAATATTTTTTGGATTTATTGGCTTGTCATTATTTTTATCGATGTAATCCAAAATGTTTGACAATTCGCTTTGTATATCTCTCTCCATTCCGGTTTTTCCGAAGCCAATATTCCGTAAATGCTTCACTGTGAACTGTCGGTGCTCCCGCCATAAAGGTCCGTCCGCGAATGTTATACCTGAAAACAATATTGGAATTTCTCAATTTTCACTATAAAAGCAACATACAACTATAACTATAACAGCAACTATAAAAGTCAATCACAGTGTAAAATAAAATAATGTTCATATAATTTAATGCAAATTGAGGCGATAATAATATGTATAAGTGATATTATTATAACAATACTAAAATAGATTACATAATTATCTCAACTTTATTATTACAATTAATTGTAAAATGAACACCGTACTTTTTTTCGCTCACATAAAGCTGTTGAAAACAATGTAAATGTTTGAATATTTTTGTCGCAGTCAGGTTGAAAAACCCGCTTCGCGTAACAGGCTAACTTGCAGTTAAGAGGATTACAGAATTGCAGTGGCTCGGGCCTTTTTTCCAAGTAATTGGGAATTCCCGTCTCATACCGCATCGTAAATAACTTAACGGTGATTGTTTCGCGGTCTTTCGGAAAATGGACAGTTGAAATACGAATTTGACTTATTGTAAAATGGAAAATGAAACATAAATTTCTTCAAAATCATAAAATAAATTGAACATTACTTTACATTATACTTAATTCTTCATAATAATATCCTTACAAGTTTTTAATCTATTTGTTATATGTAAATAATTTTGTTACTTTTCTGGATAGAAGTGCAGAATGCAATCTACTGGGGATGGAGCCTGTCCAGACGATGCCTATTCACTCGTGGCTTGAAAGGTTGAGTAAGTTCGGGAACACAGAGGCACGTAGGGGATCCCGCTCTCTAGCATAATAAATGATGTAGCAAGCCACGAATAGAGGGATAACAACCATAATAAGGTAGCCCCATGTTAAATCTTGTCATTCGAAGATGACGATATAAAACTATAGGATATGAAGCCTATAAAAACTTACGGTCAGGTAATTTTTCAAAATTAAATGTAACAGAGAATTTTAAAAATTTTCACTGTGATGCCCTGAGTAGTGCAATTCTATCACAAATACATCGAGATCAGCGCACTCTACTAACACAACACAGACCATAGAAGAAAATGGCACAGTCCTTGAACTGCCATATTATGTGTTCAGTCCTTGTAAAAATATTGGCGGGTATTCTCACATTTGCTTCGCCAACTTTATTTTCCTACCATCGTCCAATGGTCGGAGCAAGCCCCACTTGCCCGGCGACGCTCATCGCGCACACCCGTGTGTCGCGCACGCTTAGCGAGTCTACGAGTGACGTTCACTCCCTGAAAAGACCGTGTCTTTTGCTATAATTCGCGTGTAGCCGTGCTCCGCGTACCATCATCATCATCAGCATCAGCTCCGAGCATACTCTGGCAGTGCTCCACCGCCCAGAACGCCGTGCGTCTGCAGGTTGGCTTCCGTCCGTGGCGAGGGTCGATTTTAAGGTTGGTGAAGCTCAGATTACCTGTCTCTGTGTTGCGAGGACTGATCTACCTTTCATCAATTTTCTATTATAAAAAACCTATACAGTCCACTTTCAAATCAAATTCCCTGAACCAGCGTAATAAACGCAATTTTCAGTGCGACATACGCACATTATGTTAAATAGGAGTTTTTTTTTATATTATAGTTAGTATATTGTAGCTTATTGTAGTACTTATTTGTGTTCCTAGACAACTAACAGATACTACCATATGGCATTAAATCACCATACCACAGATACTACTATCTGATAAAACATCTATCAAGCTGCACAAATAAATTACAAAATAATGCACGCTGGCATTTTAGAAATTTTCCAATATGTCGAGAAGATGGCAACCGTTATGTCGCTTGTGACAACAATCAGTCGCACGTCTCTATCGTTTTAGAGCGCTAACAGTTAAAAACGATTTTTGAATACGATTGGCACCAGTATAAATGAAATTGTTACTGAAAAAGTAAGGCGCTTTGCGAAATTCCGGGAAAACAGTCTCATCACCCTAAATGCACGTGTACGGTATTCAAGGAATTCTTCATTCAACAATCTTTCATTTACAGATAAATTGCATTCCTTCATTTCTTATTTTAATTCCTACAAAATTTTAAATCTCCGAAAATATCGAACTAAAGCAGCAATACTTAATTCGTGGAAAATCTTAAGATAGCTAATTCCATTGGCTTTAAGCTGAAATGAATACGTGACACAGGCATTGTAAACAAATTACAACCGCAATACTTGGCCTTCCGAACCAGCAGTAGGTAAGATACGTCGTTGAATAGAACGCTTGTTTGCTACAGTGAACGGAGTGTAGGTATTTGCCACCCATTCTTGTTAAAGTGTCCACCTACGTACACGTCCGTATGACCTTAGTAGTTGATCCATTAAATCAAATCAAATCTCAGATCAATCTGACATCATGGTATGGTCCTGAGTGCATGTAAATAAAAAAAACATTAATATTAAGCTTGCCAACAATTTTTGATTTGAAATTATTACCAAATCAATCACTTGACAAATAGATTAGAATCGATTCCAGATTTAATGTATGTATTCTGAATTATAATGGCATATTAAGTTTAGCAGCTAATTTAAAAATCCACCTTAATCCAATACGTAGGTATCTCATGGTGACAGATCTATGGAATTGGATAGAACTGCATCTCACAAGTGTGATTACGGTCAATACTTACCTGCCATAATCTACAAAAAAATAATTGGGATGATGACTGGGTAATGAAATCGAAATTCTCCGTCAGACAGATAATAAAAAAATATTGGACACATATTTTTTAATTTTATTTCATAATCGAATCATTTGACTTGAAATGTCGCGTGACTTTTGAGTAGATGGTTTACTATAGGTATCTGTCTGACGGACAAATAATTGAAATGTCATCTAGCCTAATAAATACGTATAATATACCTACCTACACAATGGAATAACAAAAAATGCTCTGCTTCTTAGAAAACAATACAAAAGTGAATAACAAAACTCAAGAATGTGATAACATTACTGCGTTGTGTTATGATCTCACATTTTTGACATTATGTTCATTAAACTCTTTAGTAACTTAATACATAAGTATTTACGTTCACTACATAACAAACGTTTATATGAAATTGTTTGTGGTACGCAAGTTAAATAGAACGTCATACGTAACTTACGTTGAAGCAGAAGAAACTATCTGCAGAGTAACAAGTTTAAAGTCGGCAAATAAGCTCTGACTGCTCTGAATGAATTAGCCACTTACAGTTGGAAAATAAAATCGAGCGAAACTTTGTCAATAGAATAAGAGACAAGTTAAATACTTAGTTTGAATGTTCAATACAAACATGTAATTGACTAAGTTTGTTACTAAACATCTTGACTGCCTTGACATAATTTGCCATGATGATGATTATGATCTTGATAATAATTAACTGCTTGTAACCATTTCTATTTGTGAAGCAAGATATAAAAGTAGCAAATCCACATCATTTGTGGTTAGAGCAATTTATTTATTTAGACTTGTGGCGAACTTAATTCCGGGTGGAATTCAAGAGAATGTCCAGTTAACCACAGGTCAAGCAAAGAAATTTAGACGGTGCAAAAATTATAACAGTTTAGATAATGTACTTACATAGGATTAGATAAAATAAGTACATAATATAAGAATACATATTAATAGGTATGTACAATAGACAGACATACACATCAATACACAAACATTATGATATCATAGATGTACACATTACTCATGTCAGACATAGGGAAAAAAAGTTTTAGTCATTTTTAATATTTGCGCAGAGCCTTTTTGAATGTGAATTTGGAGGTTCAACATCATCATCATCAACTCATCACTCAACAGCCGTTTACAGTCCACTGCTGGACTATGAGCATCCTCCACTATAGTGGAGGGTTTTGCCATAATCCCCACGCTTGGCAGGCGGGTGGAGATCGCAGTTTAAAAGAATGATGTTTTCAGAGAGGGCTGCTGCCCATTCTCTGTTTGATGTGTAGTCCCTAAGTCGCCTCTTACGACACCCGCGGGAAGAGGGGTTGGTTGGCGAGGGGTGACCAGCTGAAGAGTCTGACTAGAGCGATAATTTCTATTGTGAGTAGAATGAAGATACTGGAACCTCTCTTTTAGATAAGATGGCATATACCAGAAAGATAGGTTTAATACATGTTAGGAAACATTCCACTGTCATATATTTTATTCAAGTTGACTGCTTGTAAACTGGAGAACAGACTGTCTGTATACCTTTAGTTGGCAAATAAAATACTTTACTTTACTTACTTCCTTCGTTGTTGGGACATTGACACTCATTAAGATTGAAGCTTACTTGTACATCAAGGATTCGATGAAAAGTTTTACAATGAGTGAACTGAGTGAGTGAATTTCTATAATAAATAGCCTAATTTTGCTCTCATGTCCGCGGAATTAGCCAAGCCAAGTTGATTATAGCCCGAATACAATGCACATGATATTACATATTGTCCATGGCTTCATCTCCGAACTAAAGCTGGATTCGCACAAATGTAGTAGGTACCTGTTGTGTGAGACGACATGACACGTCTATTGGGGCCGTGTATTATGCTTGTTAGCGTGCACTCTACGCTAACATGATGCGCTTTGACGTCTTTTGAATAGGGTACAAATCTTCACACAGAAATAAATATGGTACCTACCAATTGGATTGTTGTCTAATGCGTTAAAACTCAACATAAAATTGATAAATCGTAAAATCTGACACGAATAAAATTGCAGAGGCATAAAAAACTGGCCTAAGCTTGTTACTTTACGTTGCGTCTACGCCGCACATACTCGTATTATTTTAATACATACAATGAGCATTATAAGCGTAAGCGAGGCGTATGTAAATGGCACAGAATTTTTTATGGATATGTATCATGTAAGTACCTCAACGCTGAGGTGGAATTTTACAGCCTACGTGCGAGAAAAAGGAACAAACAATACAATTGACGTTTACAAAAAGTCGATTAGGGCTTACTAGGGTGGTAAAAATAATATTTGTTAATCCTAAAAGCGAACTGAAAAAGAATGCTTTATACATATAAGGCTACGGTGCGGTGCCATAAATAAAGCATCTTTTTTCAGTTCACCTTTTGCACCATAATTGTTGTGCAATAAAGTTTTAAATAAAGAAATATGCAAAGCGTTCTATTACCCATTCTTTTCCCAAGGCATCGTAGTTTTATGAAGAAACTGTTGGGGCGACCTTCGAACTCCTTTCCGGTGAAAACTTGTCGTATATTTTTCGTGCCATAGACTACTACAACCAGCTCACCACACAATTTCAGTCCAAGCACCTGAGTGGAATATTCTTTGGCTAATTCAGATAGTCCTTTCCATTGTGATCCATGTTTTGCAGATATGCTCTGGACAACTCCACTACAGCCCAGAAACGGATACCACTTTGGTCCTGAAAACAAAAATTAACATAATTAATATAAGCCAGTAATGTAGCGCAATGCAGCACCCGTCAAATACCTACAAGCTATTGTTCGATAATTGAAGGAACAAGAATCGAGACGATATTAATTTTACTCTTAAATAGAATTCGCAGCCATCCGCTAGGCTTTGGCATGAAAATAGCTGTGTAGCTGTAGCCTGTTTTCGTGCGCAACATTCATACTAAATACAAAACGACTTTTAAATTAAATATAAATGTAGCGATTATTGATAGATCAAGTAAAGTGGTAGTAACATTTAACGGAAGTTGGGTAGTTAGACAGATTCGAGACCCTGCTTGAAAAGATTAAAGCATTATCTGAGAAGATATAAACTTTAACTAATATAAATAAAAAGCTCCATTATTCGTTTATAATGCTTTACAGACTAATCCGCTTATCAATATTATTTCAAAACAGATTTCATCTAAATGAAATGTTCGACATTCCTACCTATTTTACGTAAATAATAAAATATAATTTTACCTGATACCGGCTTAACTTTATTTGGAATAGCGCGTCAGAGTCAATGAAAATCAATAATTCAAAAGTGATCATTCCAAAATTCCCGACCACATTATGTAGCATTTACCGCATTTGCCAATTTAAACGCTTCGATAATTACGTTAAAATTTTGTTAACGGTGGTTCTGGCTAACAAACCAGCTACATTAACATGGATTGGCCAGAATAGGACAGCTTGATCATCCAACGGTTAAGTCACTTATCATGCACTACCCTCTGGCCAATTCACATTTGGCCCGAATAGTGAATTATAACTCGAATCATGAGTGTGGCAGCGCCATAGTCTTTACTCAGAATATTCAACATGCCATGATTGGCCGGTTAGGCTGCTTTGACACCAATGACGTGCCAAACCATTACCTGGAAAGCGAAACACACTAGCCTATCTGACGCATGATAGGCAGACAATGCGCGTCGTATAGGCTCTAAATCCGAACACGACTCTAGTAGCAACGTCTGTTAGGTACGTGGTAATAAATTAAGCCCAATAAACGTAGTGTGTGGAGAGTATTACATCTAGAGGACATATTATGTCAACGCAAATGGCTCAAGATACTTAACTTTTAACAAAACTAGCCAATCGCTACTCAAGTTGAAATAGCAACAATGAGCGTAGCTACTAAATCCGTAGGTACTTAAGGATAAACAAAGTCATTTTATTTTCTGATACAAATCCATGGAGTTATGATTCTCTTCCTTTGAGGAGCTAAGAAACTGAAAATACAAATAAAAAACGGTTATCCAATTTGTCTATCTTCATTCGATGGAACGCGATTGCGTTTAAAGCTTAATCTGCAAAATAATTCAATGCGATTTATCTGCAATGAAGTTGAAATGCATCAGAATCAGTAGATATTAGGAGTTAAGAAACCTTCAGGAAGGTCGTGGTTACACACAATACGTCCAGGGAGCGTGAAACGCGAATGTTAAACAAAAATAATGTACTCGTATCTCTGAAATTGTATCGAATTAAAGATGATAGAGTCAATACACTTATTTATTTATGATGAGAAAAAAAACCTACGTGTTCATAAAATGCAGAAAAAGGCAAGTCACATCACATCGCCTTCAGAACCGATAAACCGTTGGGAAAAATGATATGTGTGTGTGTCGACCACGAATAGAAATAGGAAAGGTATCACAAGTCAACAAGATTATAGGGTAATGTGATAGATTTCTTACAAGATAAGTGCGTTTAGTCTTCTTTCGACAAAAATCACTTACAAAATAAATATACCTAACCTACATAAACATACTCACATTATTAAAACGCATCGTTTGCGATAACTAGTTTAAGCGGCAAGTTAAGCCTTAAATAATGATGCTTTCAATCAATACCCACTTTAATAAGCCAAGCCACTTTAGTCTAACAGATTTGTGAAACCTATAGTCCAGAGGGATTTGCCTAGTTACAGACAATCCGGAAGATATCATAACAGAATAAGTTATCCCATCAAAAACAATACTTGTCAAAAAAACCAAGTCTCGCAACTCAGTTGTTCTACGGTAAAAAGTTGTGAGATCCATGTAATACCAAGTCCAGGCCAGGAAATCTTTAACGTTTTACATAAATATATTGACTTGGCCATCGCACTAAATAATTTAATTTACACGTGTTTTCATGCGATGGCCAAGTCAATATATTTATGTAAAACGTTAAAGATTTCCTGGCCTGGACTTGGTATTACATGGATCTCACAACTTTTTACCGTAGAACAACTGAGTTGCGAGACTTGGTTTTTTTGACAAGTATTGTTTTTGATGGGATTTTTGTTTTAAGATACTGGGCAATTACTGTGCTTTGATGTGGGCAATTAGTGTAAGTAATGGGCAATGACTGTACTTTTTGGAGGATTTTAAATTTATTTCAACATTTTCTAACTTACGTAAGTTTTAACTAAAAACTGTTAATATTATGTTTAACAGTTTATTGAGTTATAAGAAAAAAGTCATAAATGGTCGATAATTAAAATACTTTCTTTAATTTTTCATCTCAATGTGTTTGAAATCTTTAAGTGGGCAATAGCTATACGGTTTACCCTATATCACAATTTTAATATTCAAAAACACTCATAGGTACATAACAAACACAGATTACAGTAACCCTTGGTATAGCCTCCGGCCGGTAAACTTTAGTTGCCGCTAAGTAAGTAGTTGAAACGCTCTCCGCAGGAACCGGATGAGATACATGAAGAGTTAAGAGATTAGTTTGAGACGTTACACTTCTTACGTATCACTCAAATACTTGTATGCAGAACAATTTTATGCAAGGATAGAACAACAATTAAGGAAAACTAACACTAAAAATAAAATTAACCTGTTTTAGATTGAAAAAAATTGCAAACTCTAATTAAGGCAGGCAGATAATGGAAAAGGTTTCCAGCATATTTTTAAAATTTTCTCTTGTGCGAGTACGGAACAAATGGAGGGCAATTATCGAAATCCAGTTTATTTGACCGATCACGTTCTACTCTCGCGGGACGAGCTAGTGTCATATCGCTCGCTGCCCTAGTTGCGGTCCGCGGCCCCAGCGCGGTAGCAACCGTTGTCGGACTAGATAGGTTTTGGGAAGCGGCATTGCGGACAGTATCCAAACAGCCAGTGTCATTTAAATTAACTAACTTTTCAGCCAGACAGCTCAAACAATACTAAAACTAAATTACCTATATTTGCGATTTGGTCATAGGAAGACTTATCTAACATTCAGGACAGCTATTGCTGACCATATTTCAAAAAATCGAAGTTAAATACATGCATATGCTTTCCCACGAATACCAATTTCACGGCCTAATGGATTACGAGTATGAAGGCCGCCTGCATTAATGACCTTATTCTCGTATGCGCCGACTTTTGTTTATTTTCACGTAGGTGAATCCTATTATTGCTATGGGTTAAATTAGCAGTTAGGCTAACGTAGTAACTAACTAATTTAATCATGCCCGTTTATGAATAGCTACTTATCCGATTCATTAATGTCAAAAAGTTCTAAGTCATTGTAACCTTCAATATTTTGCCAGGTGAATTGATAGTACAGTCAGTGTCAAATATTTTCATGTCTCAATTTTCAAAGCTCCGGGACACGAGTCAGCCGGCGTAAAAATCTCGGGACGTCCCGGGGCTTCGAGGAGATTTCTCAGAATAAATTTAAAATAGAGTTATTTTTGCAGAATGTATTAATTAATTGAGAATTCCGAGTGAAGCTCGCTTCCACCTTTATCACTTACTATTAGGTGAGATACAGGCCAAGAGCTACTTCGTTTTTAATAAAAATCTACACAAGTGGCGTTCGCGGGTCGGGACTTCGGGTGTGGTTCATCCTCCACCACAGCCGGGCGGGAACGGGTCGGCTCGCGGGAGAGTATAATGTCCTCATACGCGACGTAACTCATGCGTTCAGCTGTACTGCAGTGAAATGTGAATGACACAGTGCTTGCATGAGTTGTCGCGCGCAGTCATCATACGACAAAACATTAACATTAAATGAATTCGCAATGATTTAAATGAATTTTATTCCTCACTAACCAAATCGTGTAAAACGCTTTACAAGGAATATTTATCTCTTCTATTTCTACCGCTTTATCACAAAACATTATCACAGCAATGATGGTAAGAGTAATTGTATTTTCGGTTCTTATTCAATAATTAAAAATTAATCACAAAATGTGTTTGTAAGCGCATAACTCAGCAACGCGCAACGCCTGGACCAATTTAACCAATTCTTTTTTTAAATGTTCGTTGAAGTCCAAGGATGGTTTTTACGGCGAGAAAAATTCGAATAATTTCCGGGAAAACCCTAAAAACAGCCCTTTTCTTTTTCCCATACAAACGTGTTTGCTATTCAATCCGACTAATATTATAAATGCGAAAGTTTGTATGGATGTCTGAATGTCTGGATGTTTGTCTTGACTCTTTCACGCAAAAACTACTGAACGGATTTTGTTGAAACTTTACAGTATTATTGTGAAGCCGCGGGCAAAAGCTAGTTCCAAATATTTTTGACAGAACGAGTCTGTCGAGTCCGTTAGTTTATTATGAAAGCTCGTCCGTTAGTTTATTATGAAAGAATGACCGTCAATCTACACCACAGTCCGTAAAAGGCCTTTTTGTGTGATCGCCAGGTGACAACACAGACAGAAGTGCTCCGTTCCGCTCACGTCCCACTCACGCTTTTTGTGTATGGTCACGCTCTAACACCTAACACCTATGTAGGTACGTCAATGAATCGCGACAGCCTTTGTTTTCTTCATCATTAATATCGGATTCTAATAGTCTGCCTGCTGTATTCCAAAGCTCCATTTCACCTTAAACAGAATCGCCTCCACGTCGAGCTCCCTAAGGCTGAGTTGCACCATCTCACTTTAACTTTGACAAACGACAAAAATCTGTCAAACTCCATACAAAAAACACCGGTTATCATGTTACGGATAAAATTAAGCGGTGCAACTCGG